AGCCTGGGCCAAGCCTGCACATTAAATGTACACCCATACATGTCTTGTGACAGACCGCCTACTCATGTTGTAAAACAGACTTCAAAATTCAACATCATCCAAAATGATTCATTCTATTCATCTTCAATGACTTATATATGAGTCACGCAAACTTGCTCATGTGCTATTTTCTCTGATTCAGGGGTCATTTATTTGTTTCCAAGGGTCTTCAGACCTTCAAACACGCCTTTGCATTCCTATGTTTTTACTGTTAAGGGAACATCATCACTATTCTTCTCTAGAGGCGCCTTGCCTTGATGCCAGTAAATATGCAAAGCCCTTTGTGTGTTAAATGACTGACATATAGTTACGGAAAATAATGATGGAGAGTCTGATGACATTTGAACACTGTTAAGATAGCTCAGGGCGCCGTGTTTCGGGAGGAACAAGGTTGTGTAAGACTTGTAACAGCCGTAATTATAGACTTGTATGAAAAGCAAACCTGTTTTCTAGAAGAGCTCAGTTTTTCGCTGGTATTACCTAGCAATTGTCTGAGAACATTTCATGTCTGTTGTGTAATTTAAGCATGTTTTGAATAAGGCAAATGACTGATAGATGTAGGTTGAAAAAACATTTTTTTTTCCTCAAAAGTGCAGCAAAATGTATTATTAAACACCTGAGACTCACATCCAAGTTCATTTTCTAATAACAAAATACAACATTAACTTTATATACATGACCTTTACTAGTAGTTATGTCCTTTCTATTTTAAATGGGATTAATTTAAATGAATGTTTTTGAGTTACCATTACAAGGGACGTCATAGATAATTTATTCATAATCTCATTTATAATAAAATGTGCAACAAAAAATAAATGCATTTCTCTTTAATATAAATATATAAATTTGCAAACGTGAAAGAAATCAGTGTTTTTAATGGAAAACCTGAAATGGTGACTATGTTGTCTTTAAAGTATTTTGTAGCTAATTTGGCAGTAATCCTAATATAATTTCCTATTTGGAAGACCAGGCTTTAACTTGCTGGTTGATGTCGTTAGCTCTTGCTTCAATATTTCCACATCAGGTTCTTTCTCCATGATGTCATCTGTTTTGTGAAATGAACTAGTCCCACCTGATGTTGCCTCACCCATACTTTAGTTGGGATGGTGTTCTTAGGCCAGAAGCTCCCCTCTTTTTCTTCCAAATGATACAATGATCATTAGGGCCAAACACATCAATATCACTTTCATCAGACCACATGACATGTTTCTAGAAACTCTCATACAATATGTGTCCCTTTGAGCTTTGTACAAAAACTGTAACATTTTTCTACGAAGCTTTTTGAGTAACTTTCTTAGTGTTTTCAGCTAGCATCTTTACTGTTACTGTTAGTTTTGTTCCAGGATCTTTATACACATTTTTCACTAAAATGTCGGTTTGAGAAAGATTTTTTTTTTAACTGTTTCTCTGGACATCCCATTGCCGTTTATAATCGCATGTAATAGTTTGAACAGGCACCTGAAGGCATCTCGAAAGCAGAAAGTGGAGGCATTCAGCTCTCTATGTGATATCTCTCCCAGAGCAGTTACTTTCCTCCATGATGTCACACATGTAAGATGTGCTTCAGTTCAAATGAAATGCTGTGAACTGTATCATCATCCAGGCTCTCACAAATTATAAATTACAGAAGTTAATCTTAGTTGCTTTCATCAAACTTCTAGATTTAGACTAAAGAATAAAATAAAAAATTCTCTAAATGTTCTCATATGCCCAGTTAAAATAACATCAGGTAAAACAAGAAAAGTTAAGTGTTAAGTCTGATTTAATATCAGACCAATATATTCAGTGGATCCCTTTGTGTGGTCAGTGACATGTTTTTCCTTTAATCCCCCCCTTATTGTCCAACCACACCCAGTCTGACACCCTGCTGTCTCCTTTATCGATTCAGCTTTTAGCTTTTTGATAGAGCAAAGGGGGGCAGGGGGCACTCAGCTGTGTCTCCCCTCAGCGCCATGTTACTCCCCTGAATCAATCAATAACATCCAGAAAACAGCGTTTGACTCAAGCAAATTTTGTGAGGTTTGTTTATGGACTTTTTTTATTTTAAGGATTAACATAATAACTGCTGTTTATCAACTTTTACAGAAATGCATAAAAAAAAACTATCTTGCGTGTTATAAAGGTTACCATCAAACTTACTAAAATACAATGCACATGAATTTGTTTCCATCGTATTAAGCCTGGTAATTTGAAACTTTTCACGGTTTACAAATTTTACTAAATGCACCCAGAGAAATAAATGCAGAAAAAAGCAGAGGCTGATGATATAAACAGATTCCCATTAATCGATCATGCAGAGGAAAAACAGTCGTAGAATTTCAAGCATTCAGAGCATTTTGGTTTTTGCCAAAGCTTTATCTCCAGGGGGTTGTTTGTAAGTTTCTAGAAGCTACAGGGATCTCCTGCAATTTATCCACGTGTTTCCAGGCTGGACGAGGTCATGCAACCTGCTTCCAAGAGAAGGAGCAGTAGTCAGCAGCACTCTCTATTGAGAACAATTCCATTAGGGTTTAAGGCAGTCAAATGGGGTCTCGCACATCCCAGCCACAGTCTTCATTTCTATGCATTTTAGATATGCACACCTGCATCCACTACATAATTTAACAATTAATTTAATATTATCACAAACATACATGCAAATATGGATCTGTGATGTTTCCACTGGGATTGTGCAGATTGCAAGAGGGTCTCTGACAACATCATGAGAGCATTCCTCCTTCTTCACTTTTAAGAGTTGCACCAGGTGTGAAAGTCATCTTTGACACCTGACGAGCGACACCAGGGGTTCGCTCACCATTGGGGTGACAGTGGCATCTGATGTATGTCAGAGTTTGCCCTGAAATCGAAGGGGTTGATGGTTCAAGGCCCAGCTCTGGCTTTCAGTGTCGTGTCCTCCCATATGTGCTATTAACAAAAAACTAAATTGGCTGCTATGTGTACTATGTGAGCAACATTTCTAAATAGAACTGCTAGTTTGACCTGTGAGAATGTGATGAATAATATCAGGGTTCTTATCATTATAGACCTCTTGCCTTAATAAGTGGACTATTCTTGATAGTTTAACATTGTAGATGAAAAGGAAATTAAAAGTAGAAACTTTTTTAGTGTCCATGGCAAAAAGGTGAAGGATAAGAAGTAAGAAAAGACTGGGATTTGAGGAAAGAGGATTGATACAGAGACCAGAAGGGTGAAGGAGGCCACTTAAAGTGCAACAGCAGAAGAAATGAGAGAGGATGTGGAAAATTATTCTAGTGTAAGAGGTGAAGATAAGATTTCAGAGTCAGAGATAAAGAAGACACAGAGGATGGCGCAGAGTGAGGGAATCCAGCCGATCCAACTTGAACATTGTATATTTCTTCTCAGCATAAATCCGAATGTGAGATGTTTCTCCCATGCTTAGCGATCACTGCCTTAAGCTCTGCTAAAAAAAAGATGACCAAAAGGAGTCTGTATGATCAATACAGACTCATACAACCGGCCAGTTCTGTCAGCTTGAGTGCGAGTCGACAGGATTGACAAAGACTCCTGGATGGGTGTTGAAATGTCTTCAGAAAGTCCAGTTGCCTCTGATTAAAGCCTGTTTTGTAGTTGCCATTACCCTGATGACTAAGATTTTGGACAGACGTTAATGTATGGTAATGTATAATAATGGTAATTTCAGTCCTTTTTTGAGTTTATTCACTGTTTTTTGTTTTGTAAAACATCTGTTTTTCTCAACAACAAAATGGCTTTTTTGGATGCTCAATACAATTACATCTAAGAGATTTACTCATGTGCTTCAGCGATTTGGTCCAATTTTAAGCATCCTTTGCCCCCCAAACCTATATGTGAAATTTTTTAAATCCACCGCCGTTTGCCGGCTTTAGTTTTAGGGGTTCAGGATGCCTCTTTTCCCTTGTGTCTGTTGCTCTTCTGCTTCACTGACCTACTTGTGTGGGGTATATCGCTACATTGGGGTTAGCCCTTGTTTTAAATGAATCAACCACCCTCTGCAGCTCATGGGTACTGTGTGATGACTAAAATGGTTACTACACAAAACACTGTGCACCTCCAAGCAACGAATTTACTTGCATGCACCCATTCAGCACAAACACACACAGTTTTACATCCACCACACTCCCTATCAGAAATGGTAAAAATGGTAAATGGCCTGTCCTTATATAGCACTTTTCAAGTCAGGAGAATTGACCAAAGCAGTTTACACTACATTCAGTCATTCACCCATTCATGCGCACACTCATTCACTGATGGTGGCAAGCTATATTGTAGCCACAGCTGCCCTGGGCTCATTGACAGAAGCGAGGCTGCCGTACACTGGCGCCACCGGGCCCTCTGACCACCATCAATAGTCAATGCAAATGAAGTGCCTTACCCAAGGACACAACAACACTAAATGCCAAATCTGGAGCTCGAACCGACAACCCTCCGGTTGCAGGGCAAGCTACTGCACCCGATGCCATTGTTGCCCCAAACAGAAGGCAAAATATACACAAACTAATAATTTTTATATTATTATGGCGTGCCTAGTTTGATAGGGGAACCAATCTTGGTGTAACTAAGTAAATCACAAAATCAGGATTCCATCCTAAATATCTTCATAATTGGCCACCGCTTATAGGTAGGCAACCAACCCACTATATGGAATCTCTGAAAGGCTTCAACATAACAAAATAATAGCAACATTTAAGGCTGATTCGAGTTCAAAGCATAATTAGTTTAGATGCACTTTAGTGCATTTTACTACGAGGTTCCTGGACAATATGGTGAAGAAAGTTTCAAATTAATATTCAAGCTGAGAAGTTAGTGGACAACAACAAAAAGGAGACTCTGTGAGTGGGAGAGGAAAAGTTAGAATGCAATAAGCAGGGGACCAGGCCTGGAGGAGGAGGTAGGGGGTGTTGGGGGAGTGGTTAGCTGTGCTGCTTGTATATAGAGGAGACAGAGTCTGACAGAGTAGATTCTGCGAAAGAAGAAGAGAAAGGAGGACTGTCCTTTGAAACTCTCACTACCTGTGAATGACTTCCTGAGCCTCGCAACGACAAAACCTTGCACGTTTCTATTGGATTATAAACACCAGATTTCTGTTTCATTAAAAGGTAAAAACTGATTTTGCTTTACTGTGGCAGGTTTGTGTGTTATGGCTGATCCCAGGCAGGTGCAACCGCAGGTTTAATGGCAAACATTGTTCTCAAGTTACATGAAGATCTTCTGGTAAAAGGATTTAAAAGCATTTGCTAAACTCTGTCTTCTTTTAGTGTAAGTTATGACTCAATATATATTACTCAAGTCTTTTCTGCTATGATTTATTTACTTTCTGGGTGTTTGTGCAGCTGAACAGTCTAGCAGATGAATGATGGAAAGAAAAATGAGTTAAAAATTAGCAGTTTTGTAAGAACCAGTTTGTGCTTTTGGTTGTCTGGTCCCCCAGTGCAACTCCGGGCTGTAATAATTTCACTCACCTTTTTGTTTTTTAAAAAACTTGAGGAAAACTTTTAGACCACTAGCCATTTGTGTTGGGTTTTTTTTACAGAAAGGACTGGAAAAACTTCAGGAAGGTCTTTTACCCAGATACTGTACAGAGAGTTATCTCATGGGTGTTGCTGTGGTATCAACAATGACAGTAAAACAGTGACGTGGATACCAACATCTACCAAAACCATACTTTATATTTACTCTTTTAGAGTTGTGAGTATTTTGATATGATGCTTTCAGTACTTATTCTGTAAAAAAAATAGCTTAAAGCATTTCAAAATATCTAAATTAAAAAGAAATTTAGTCTTAAAACCATGAATGTGCCAGACAGTAATTCTGCTGCTAAGAATTACTGTCTGGCATGTTACCTATGACCTTTACTCCTTCTGCACAGTAACAACCTGTGCTTCTGTTGGGTAAAAATGTGCCTACACATGTATTTGTGTGAATGGCTGTCGGTGCGAAGGGTCCATCTGCCCTGTGGCTGCAGTAGCTTGGCTACAGCAGCTGTCCTGACCTCTGGTCAACCATATGGCAGCTTTTGTTAAACAAGTGGGAGTGAAATAAAGCTTTGTTTTCAACAAATGAAAGAAAATGTTACAATTTCACTAATGATGGATTTGAATTAGTTACAATATTTGTATTTGAGCCATGGTGAAGTAAATTGAATGGCTAAATATAAACAATAAAAAAGCAATATAAACATTTCAAACAAAAAACGTTGAAAAATTGCCTTGTCAAAAAAACAAAATTGAATTCTTTCAGAAAGATTTCATAAAAATGTCCTGATTTATTTTAGCCACTGCAGCCATGCCATATATCATGACCACTCTTCCTTAAAGTAAATAACGTATTACTGTATATCTTCATCATGTTGCCTGTGTGTGATACAGGCAGCTTAATATTGGGTTATAAAATCATATGCATTAGAAGTAGAAAAAAATGGGCACGTGGGGATTTTTGCGAGTTCGAGGAACAGCTTAGACTACAGTGTTGTATCATGTCTACAGCTGCAGCTCCTTGAGATTCCTGATGGTCATGTTCTAAGCTATTGTCTATCTGGCTGAAGTAGAAGTTAAAGCAGCACTGTGTACATTTTAAAAACAAGGAGTAGTATTCTACTGAGTAAGAGGAGGTGCAGATGATTTTATATTTGATCAGTGGATAGTTTGTCAATAAATCCGATAATATTACTGATAATTCACTGTTAGTTAACTGCTTTGTTTTTGTAGAACATCTGTTTCCCCTGTCTGGAAAGTACTCCATCTTAAATGACAGCTCCATTGTAAAACTATCATCACTGTGATCACTCTCCATGCGTGTTTGTTGCTGTCAAAACCATGTCATTGCCGGTGTCAATCCATCTTTCAATCTTGCCCAGACTGTTCTCATCCCTACTTTGATTTTCCTTGGTCCGCCAGGCATCACCTCCTCTAGATCCATTTTTTCAAATGCTAGATGTTGGCTCTGGAAAAGGGTTGAGCTGTCCTTTATAGACAGGATAACAGCATTGTTCTACATAAAAAAAAAATCTGAATTATATTCCTTTTAATGCATTTCAAACCTATAAGATGTGACTGATCAGTAATTACAGGGTCAGCTTATAAAGAGACAGTTGTTTTGTATCCAGATTATCTGTTCCAAAATGACTGGAGGCAGTAAGATATTAACCTTCTGTGTTTCTTTAAAGAAATCATGTAATATTTTCCATGTTAAAAACAACAGGTATGTAAAATATGTATAAAAGGTTAATAAAATCTAAAAATCTAATCTAAGAAAAGAAAAATAAATAAATTTGCCTTTTGCATTAGGAATAATAACATCTACAACATTTAAAGCTTGATATGAACTTTTTAAGTATATTGTATCAAAATGCTTGTAAATATTTTCTCTAATAGCAGTGGTGAAGATTTTTAATACTTTAGCGAATCCTTATTGTGATGAAGGTTACCTTTACAAATTTCCCCATGAAAGTCTGGTCTGGTGGGTATTTTATTGCACTACTTTGAATCTGAGGGGCTTTTGACGCTGCCTCCTGCCCATCCCAGGCCACCATTCCCTTTTATGTTTTTGTATGTGTGTATTTGATGAATAAAGAAGCATTCAGGAGGTTACGGCTTGGCTATTATGGGCATACTGTTTATTGTGAGCACATTCTTGATTTTACAATTGAGAAGGCTATTTATGTAAGCAGCAGGGTATTTCCTCTAGTCTGCATTGACTCACCCAGTCAGAAAATTGAAGCCAACACCCTCTCAAGTCCATCCAAAACATAATAATGTATCAATTCCTGTCAATCTTAAAAAGAGCAACATGTAAGCACATTCAAACAACTGTGCCTTGGATAAACTATTATAAAAGAAAACATTTTTTTTTTTTTATAAAAAGACACTATGTAAAAAGAGGAGATGGTCACCTTCAATGATCCTTGCTACCTGTCAGCCCCTTTAAAGCACTCTGTGTTTCTACCATTTAGCAACCGTTAACCAACACTTTATTAGCTGAGTGCATTTTCATACTTAGCTGAAGCTTTTCTTGGTTGTTTGAAAGAGAAATCTGGAAAAAAGGGACAAATCTCTTTTAATTCTTTTTGGAGCATGAACTGCTGATTTAGCCCCAACTTCAGTTTTGTGGGTGTGTTTGTTGTAATTAATTAAAGGCTGCTTAGAGGTGTCTTCCAATATGTTTAATCTTACATTGTTATCACCACCACAGATTACTATGCCATGTGATTTTGTTATCATCATGTCAAAAATATGTTTGTAGAATGTATGCCCATTCTGAACTTGGGCGGACATATATATATATTCATAGAGGTAACTTCTTGTACCTCAAGTCTACCAGTTACTATCTACATTCTTTGTGGTAGGCGTTTACTTGTTATCTCCTTCCAATTTAAAGGAGGATTTTTTTTAAACCCTCTTCTCTCCCTTCTTTTCCCCTTCCACATCCTGTGCTTATAAGCGCATCTGTCAACGCAACACATCTGGCAAAAATGTCTGATCCTTTGCTGTGTATTTTTAAATTAATCAAAAAATACTGAGCAGCATCAGAGCAAAAGAGAGGTTTCAGTGGGACCAGTGACACAATTTTGATCTCATATTTGTTTTAACTTTCTTGTTGAGTCATTCTGTTCCTCTCAGTCATCACTCAACTTATCTGAATTCAAACTGATTTCAAACTCACTCTTAGTTTACTGTTCTTACTGTATTTTCAATAAATATATCCTAGTCCACAAACACCCCAGTTCACATGTTCACATTAATTTTCTTGTAGGATCACAACAATGAAGGACACCAACAAAAAACAACAAGAATATTTATTAAAAAAATAAAAAACAAAAAATAAAAAATAACAAAAAACAGCTTGAATCATATTATAGGTCATCAAATCAGTGTCAGTTTAGTCTGAGGCTGCCTGTTTAACCTTTATTTACCCAGGAAAAAAATCCCATTCAGATTAAAACCTCTTTATCAAGGGAGTCCTGGCCAAGAGGCAGCAAAGTTACATAATAAAAAAGAGATATATTAAATTAAATGACAGGTACATAAAAAAAAACATATCAAGTAAAACAATTACAGATCATTAAGGCTGCTTCAAATCCTTTCACTTTCAAATTAGAAGCATTTAAAGATAAAAACTCAGTCAACTTCCAGCTTCTTTGTAAAAAGTTCCACGCACAAGGAGCTACGTAGCTAAAGGCTTTCTTCCCTAGTTCTCTGCGGGCAAAAGGAACAGTGAGCAACAGCTGATCGTTGGATCTCAGGTCATAAGAAGCCATGCTTTTCTGTGAAAGGTAGAAATGTAAGAGGGCAGTAATCCAAGAAAGGCCTTGTAAATAAAATTGTAGCAATGACACTGCCTTCTCGTAGAGAGGGAAGGCCATCCCACCTGAGAGTAAAGGTCACAGTGATGTCATGGCTCTACAGTTTATGATGAACCTTAATGAAGCATGGTAAACACAGTCCAACATTTAAAGACATGAAGAAGAAGAATTCTTATAAAAAAGGTCACCATAATCTAAGACCGATAAAAATGTGGCAGACACAAGGCACTTTTTTACTCCAAAAGAAAAACATGTCTTATTACGAAAGAAGAAGCCCAGTTTAACTTTTAATTTCTTCACAAGTTTATCAATAAAAGGTTTGAAGGTGAGGGAATCATCAATTCCAAGGTATTTCTATTCGTGTACCACCTCAATGACTGCCTGTAGTGATTTTAAATGTCCAGCAGGGGTCAGTATTCAGTGACAGTATGAATACAGTTAGCAAATGTGTCGAAACGTGTCATGACAGCTCATGAAGCTATCATTACATAGCAACGTAAATCCCATATAAAACAATGGAGTTATTTACCACAGGTTTCAGTGCATGCTTTGAAAAGGAGCGGGACCAAACATCATTTTGATGGCCTCAACTCTTTGCCTTAGCCCTAGATAGGCTATAAGACTCCATCTGGATAAGACATTTTTAATCCTGATCATTAGAGGGTCACAATTAGCAGCAACAATTTTCCCCATGTCTTTGTCTCCTTTTTTTCTAATCTTTTAGGTGCTTGTACCTGACAGGGTGTTCAGCCCTTACATGATTTCATGTCCCAATTTATTTCAAATGTTTCTTTAATATTATTACTAGGCGAACATTTGAAAATTAAAACCTAGGATTTGAGGGAGTTCAATTTATAACCAGTAAATTTGCCATACTCCATCAAAGATTTATATAATTCTGGGAGAGATTCCTGAGGTTTTGCCAAATAGATTAAGGTATCATCTGCAAATAAGGCTACGTTCCTTACAAAATACGGTTTATCTCAAAGCAATGTATTTTTGTATCATCTAATATTGTCTCTGGTTCGTCTTTCCTTTATAAACCCTGTTTGGTCTGACTTTACTATGTATGGGAGGATGTGTTCTAATCTTTTAGCCAATATCGAAGTGAAATGTTTGTAATCCTGTGTGTGTTCTGTCATCTTAAAACTCAATGGATATGTGAGGGGGAGAATAATTAATGAGTTTAAATCTGTTTGACTACAAGAATATCTGTTTAATTACAAGCTCTTAAAAGCATTCTTGGGTAAAATAAAAGTTACATTTTTAAGAAATACTTTCTTTCCATTTCTTTTCTTACAGATCAATCATGCGTGTTGTTCTTTTGACTGCGTGGGTGCTGTTCCAGCTTGTGAAGGAAGGTACGGCGGGCAGAACCAAAAGGGAGCTGGCCAGCCCTCTGCATGCTGCTGGCATCAGAGACCCTCATGGCTCCTACTGTGAGAGAAGAGGAGGTTGCTGCCCTGGCAGAGATGACCTTTGCACTGTACCCTACCTGGACACAATCTGCTATTGTGACTTGTTCTGCAACCGAACCATCTCTGACTGCTGCCCGGACTTCTGGGGTCACTGTCTGGGCATTGAGCCCCCATTCATTGGTATGTTTCCAGGTTCTTTTTAACACCTAGTATTTCCATTTTAATAATACGTGATTACATTTGTGGTTACAACATGATCAAACCACAAACTGATGTAACTGCAGCACCATGCAGTGTGCTACATGGATGTGGCACAGTATTTTTTTTCTTTGAGGATGGGAGGATTGTAGACACAATGCCTTTAATGCAAGATTAATTAAACAGAAACTAATATAGACCGATGGGCTAATTGGGAGGCTAGTAGAGATCAGAGTGTTGCAGCCAAATTGTTCATCAAAACTAATAAGCCATTGAAGTAATAAGCTTAGAGATTATTTTTTTGGTTTTCAGTGTATACTGTGCATGTGGTTGCTTTTGGACTCTATTATCATGTTCATTGCTGCTCTCTCAGAGGTGCAGAAGTTGCCACTCAGAGCAAAAACCTTCAGTGACAGAGAGCAGTGCAGGAAACAGTGGGCTTCTTATTAACTTGGAATGAGGAGGAGGGGTGTTAAGGTTGAACCAGAGGAAGGAATGTTGGTCATGTGGAAGGCAGGATAGACAGATGAGGCAGAGGGATCGAAGCAGGTGTGTGTTCATTGATAGGTAAGGTAGAGGTTCTTCTGAGGTGTGAAATGAAATATAAGCACAGATCTTTTCCTAAACTTCCTGTTAGGATTAAATGTTTTCCTTCTGAAAATGAGAGGTGAAAGGGATTTAATCTGTAATGTGCAACTGTTGCAACAAGTGAATTATGGCAGACCCAATTAGACAGCTGTGAGGTTGGAGAATTAGTGTCGAAGGTCTTATCCATAAATCACTATTTGCTCTGGGACACAGTCATCTCTGTGCCCTGACATTTTTTAAATTCCACATGATGATTCCAACTGTAAATTAGGGGGTAGATATCTACTCTATGTCTTTCACTAAGTCAGTGTAGTTTTGTCAGCAGCAGAGTCTATACTTCAAGATAAAAGGTGTAAAATTAATTGAAAACAAAGACAAACAATGATGAATAATAGTTTGCTGTGAGAAGTGTTTCTCTTGAGGGATCTATGTGTGTTTCCTTCTCTCCATTCCAGTAGAGGAGAAGCAGAGTATAAAATGGTTAAACCATTAGAGCCCAGGAAGCCATGGGAATGGAGGGAAGGAGCTAACTCTGCATTCCTACACTGGATTAATGGAGCTCAGTGTTTCTAAAACCTCCCATAAGCGGAGTGTTTGCTGAATGTATTCTCATATATGTGTGTGCGTCTTGCTTCTCTACATTTAAGGCTCTGCTCGCAATTCTTTCAGCTTAGTTAGAGGATCAGTTGTGCTAAGCCATGCCAAAACATTGTATACAATATTAAACCCCAACTCTTTGTGTCTTCTCAGGTACCTGTGAAAGAAATGGAAACAAGTTTTATACAGGGCAAACATACAAAGAAAACTGCAATTTATGGTACGTAAGCCCTACTTTTAACTTTTTCTTTGCAACAGATACATAAATATGCACATTTAAATGTTCTACTTACCGACTTAAAGCTGAATGTTATCCTTCACTTTTTCATTAACGTCTTTGTTCATCTACTTGTTTTATCTATCTCTTTGTTCTATGTACCTGTCATATTCGAAAACTTAACAGTTTTTTTTGTTTTTTATTTGTCTTAGAACAACAAACATTTTTCACAATGGTAAAATTATACATAGTTTAAACAATCCATACAGGGTAAAGAACAACACAGGTTATTATTGGGATTTTTGGTATTAAAGGACACACATACAATAAGTGGCTTTGGAAAAAAAAAAAGATTTCAATAATGGAAAAATAAGGACTTTTAAACATAGGTAGTTTAATCACAATAAGAAAAGTGCTTTAAACAGCGAACACAAAAGCCTGCACTAGACTAGCAGGATACAAACTCTAAAAAACAACAAGGGAAACACTGAAAACACAATAGGAAACCAAAACCCAACCGATCTTAACAGGGAATAGGAATTAAACAAAAATGAATAACTTAATCAAAAAGAAAAAAACACGCTTTTGGTTCAGCTGTGGGGTCTTGTACAGTGAGATCCCTTTAACCTGATCTTTCTCAAGTTCTCTATCAGTGCTCCTTGGCTTATTTACAAACCTATTGATTACTTATTTGACTCTCATATTAGTGAAATAAAGTTTGACTTCCAGATTATTGCCTCCTGAATAATGCATAAGTTTATAAATGCATCTGTAACCAATGCTTTTAGTAAACAATGAGGTATTTTTATACAGTTCTCATTGATCTGCCATATCTCTCCATGTATTTGGTGCTCATATGGAGGGGTTTTAATGATTCTGAACTTCAGTTTTTGTAATGGACAATATTTATCTCAAATCAAAACAAAACAAAACAGAGACAGATCAATTTGAAGAGAGGATGAAACATTTTACTTTGGTTAGAACTGTAGGTCTGCTGCTAATGGTAGTAAATTTGCAGTGCTTTTCTAACTAATGACAGATTTCAGCCTTTTTCTTGGCTTTCTATGCTTTTTTTGCACATATTTTTCAATACTTAATCTCAACAAAGTTTAATTTATCAACTTATTTCTTTTGCTTTCTTTGTATGTGTCGATAACTTGAGCCGCTAACGTCATCTGGTGAAAATTTCACCTCAATAGAGATATTCGCATAATAACGTTAATGCATTTAATTTTCATTTTACCAACTGTAGTTATAGCAATTTAAAATGTTAAAGTGGAAAGTCCCTGTGAAATAGATAAGAGCTTCATAATATATATGCAGAACATAGTGAGCACTGATTAGGTGATTAACTCTAATTTGCTTCCTTCAAAGAACAGTTTAGTAGTCAATGTCTGCAGGATAGAAATAGCAGCAACACAACTCAGTCGAAAACAAAACAAGGCCGATGAAATTCCCCCCATATCTTCTGTTAGCATGATTATGTTTACAGCCTGCTGTTTCATGTTGGTTTTAAAGTTACATGGTCAGTTTGACAGTAATTCAAGCAGATTTCCTGTTTAGCTCCTAGTTTGATATAGATAAAAATGCACTTAACTTCAAAGGACCAAACTGAACCTGGATCCAGTGAGACAAAGCTGCTCGGTTCTTGTTTTGACCTCTTGTGTAAACGTCTGTGTGAATCTTCTTGATAGCGTTGATTTGTTTTTCCTGTTCTCTTTTCCTGAGGGACAAGATTATGTGTCGCTCTCTCTATGACCTTGCTGTTGAGTTAAATTTTTCTAAAAGTTTTGGGAAAAGAAGAACTCAGAAGATAAACTTTCACACAGAGTTCAGGTGACTATTATCCTGTATCTAGAGCAGTCTGTGAAAAGTGCTGCAGATCTTATAAGTGAAGGGAGGAAGAAGTGAAAGTTAAATTGACTTTACCTCTCACATCAATGCCAAATTGAAGTGTAAATTGAAACACAAAAATATGCTGACTGACAAGTTCTGTTCAGTTCAGTGATCTGGTAAATTTCGTTTTATCTGATCAACAATGTAATATTTGTCTTTTTAAACATGGAGAGAGATTTCAGTGAAAGCATTTTTCCAAGCTGTCAGGTGCAGGTGCATCCATGCCATACAGCATTTAGGAAAGAGTAACAGAGCTTTTATAATAGCAAGCAGCAGTAGAGCTTGCATTAAAATAGTATTTCAAAAATGTTAAAAATGACTTTATAAAGAAGATTACAATTTAAAGAATGACTATAAACAACACGTGAATGTAAAAAAATGGTTTTGCAAAACACAGCTCATTTTATGACAGCCAGTTTATGCAAACAACATGGTGGGACTGGTTGCGTTATAGTGTTAGACACACATTCGCTCTACATTTTAACACGGTTGACTTCATTAAACCAGCGGCACAATAGGAAATCAGACAGACTACAAAAACAATAAAGAGACAAAGATGACAAAACGTAGGGGCAAAACAAATAGAATGGGTGCAGGGCATGGGGTTCTGTAGGGGGTGAGTGCTCCAGGGAAAAGATATTACAGCCACAATAAAAGGAGCAGCTCATAAAGGTCACAGAGGAAAAAAACTGTAGAAGCAATATTTGGATCAACATTTTGAAGAATATACATCTTTTTTGGGTGTGCTTACTGCACAAGAGAAGATAAACTTTTACATGCATGGTAAGAAAAAACGAAGTTCTCTATGTTTGGGACATTTTTCTCTTAAATTCAGGCAAATTCCCTTACAGGACTCGTAATATACATATTTTTTTGGCCATGGACATTTTTAATTTTTGACTGTTCACCTACTAGATTTTAGTCAACACTCAAGAAACTATCATGAACCGCATAGTTATCAAGTTCCTGACCAGGACTGCAAGAAAAGAATGATTTGTATTTTTTCCTTGCAACACGAGTGGGAAGACGTTTCTCTGTTCATATGGACTATCTATGGACCCTTTATCATATTTAATACCTATTTAGCAAAACATTTATGCTTTTATTCATAGTTCAGTTTAATTTCTTATTTTTTTTATAATGCCCCAATGTGTTTTTAATGTTAAAATCAAGAAAGAAAAAAAAAAGACAAAATAAAATGCAAGGATTGGATTGAAGGATTGGAGGACCTCAACGTCATCTACATTTCTTAACCGACATCACAAAGAGCCAAAGATTCTTAAGGCTGTATTAACTCCCACACATGCTTATTAAGGCTGAACGCATGGCTCCTTAAAAAGTTACTCCACAACAATGGCATGGAGGGAAACTAACACTCCCTTTTCCGACTCCATCCAATTATTAGTTTGCCAAATATAGTCTCTTAGCCCTGCAGGGTGGAGATTACAGCTTCCTCTAGAGCTGACAGCCAGCTCACAGCTGGCTCCCTCCACGCTGTCTTCTTATGAGCAGTCGAGCAGCTTCAAACTTAAATCAGTCTCTCGTACATGTAGCTACTGGTTTTATTGGAACGGGGAAGCCTGCACTGTAAATGAATGTTGAAAGTAGTTAAATAGACCAGTGGATTCAGAACTTTTTCTCTTAGACCCTGCTTTGGTTTACAAAGGTTTTCACTCCCCCAAACCAACCTTNTTAGCAGTTTAACAAAGATGTCGACTGCAGTAAATTAAATGTTGCAATATCATAAACTACAATCAACCTTGAATTGCAAAAATACTGCATTTAAAGAGTATTTATCTGAAATATAGTTGTTAATTTTACTGTGTAACTGAATTCAACGTGGCTATCAATACATTTGTCAAAACATACCTCTTAAAATGCTTCATTTATTTGATTCCTTTCTAGCATACACCCCCACTGCAACACTATGGAGCTCATACCATTAAAAAAAAACAGTGATTTTAAGTTTATTAAGTTATAAACATTAAGGTTTGCTGATGGCCTCAAAATTCTACATTTCTTGTAATTTACTCAGGTTTAGTGTCGCTTTCAACTGTATATCCAGTAGAGTTGATACTTCAAAAACCCCTTTAGCATGAATTTTTTTTTTATCTTAACAGCACATATAAAGCCTGACTGAGACTCTGACTCAGATAAAAGAGTAGCATTAGAGCTAATGAAATGATCAATTTTCCCAATATACACCTTATCTTGCCTCTCTGGTAGGTTTCTGAGATCTTTATCAACCTCAAATGATATGAACATCATCTTGCTAAAGAATCAAATACTTGAACTTTACTTTGTCCTCTTCTGAGTCCATCTAGACAAAAGCCAAAGGGAGCACATGCGCAACCCTGCCCTCCCGAGAGGGCAAGCCAATTAAATACGTACGAAAGCATGCACAAGCTCATTTCTCCTCGTGCACACAGTTTAACAGTTGCTATTTACATCGCTCATACAAGCTTACTTTCCAAAAGAAGATTTGGAATTTTTCTGTGTCAGACTCATCACCGGAAAGTGAAAATGGGGACAAGCACGTAGGACGGCCTTACTGTACGTAAACTTATCACCAGAAAGATTGAAATCCTCCACTATACCTTTACGTGAAAAATATCTAAATAGACACCAGTGATGCTGATCAAGCTGATGAGACAGTTTGCAGCTTGCTATCTCTCTATGAATTTCGATTATTTGTTTTCAGTATGTAGTGTAACTCTGAATCATAGACATTGGCTCTCAGTCTTATCAGAGACCTCATATTAATCAAGCACATCCATCTGTGTCCAATCTCAAAACTCTGAATGGGCTTTTTTTTCATCCAGGTTTTGTAATATAAGTGCCCGCCTTCTAGTTAAAAGTAAGGCTAAGGTTGTCATGGCTCCCCTTTAAGTCAAAGTCTTTCAACCTCCCACTGAGACACTTAACATACCTTTTCTTGTTATAAATGTTCTTCTTTGAGGATAGTCAATAAAATTGTACACTTAAGCATTTGTGCCTCAGACACTTGGCAGAAATGTTACAATCTAATAAGTGACTCAGTCTGTTTGCTTCTGTGTGACTAAAGGGGAATTGGACCTATTTGCTCTGTAATTGTCCTGGGTAGGTCCATTTCTTTGTGTAAACTGTGAACCATCCCATACAGTCAATATTATTTCCTGATGACTTCATTTTCTTAAAAAAAACAACAACTCCTAATTGACTATCTCCTGCAGCACATGGTTCATTTAAAGGATGGTCTTTTAAAGTAGACATGCTTTCTTTCCAAAAGAACATTCATTTCTGAGCACAGACTAATTAAGACTTTAGTATCTACTGGTGATATGGACAGATTGTTATGATTTTCCTTTGATAATGATGAATATGGACATATTTTCAAAACTGTCTTAAACGTGATCTTGATGTTACTACTTTGAACAGGGGTTAGTGCAAAGTTTGAATGTTTTTTTCTGGAGCAGAAAACAGCTATATGCTTAACTATTTCCGCTTGAGAGTGATATTAAATTGCATTAATTGTTGCAATCATTGGTTGCTACGAGATGTAAAATCACCTTAATGATTTCATTTTTTTTTTTTTCATTTTTATAAAACAGCTATTTGAAAAATATATCCTACCAATCCAACATATCTATTCTGATTAGTAATTGTTATTTGAATTTTTCTCTGATTTTGAATGTTATGTTTGAAGTAGCCTATCATTAAAATGAGATTTTCGCTCTTTGACTTTGAAGCATAAAGAAACAAAAGAGAGTCTAAGACTATGATTTGCAATAAACTTTTTAGGCTGAATGTGAGGCAGCTGTCTGATGCAATTTGTGTCTTGCACAATTTTCATAAACAGTCTTACAGCATTTATTTTGACCTCACACTAAAAATCGCATGGAAATAAATTTTTAAACATACGTTATGTAAATATTTCAATTAGTTTTGTTAAGATTATCCAAAATATGTTAATATAGCGAGCTGTGCTCAATCACTTGTCAAACTAGACAAAGATATGCAGACAGACAGATATGAGTCATGGGGAAGTTACTTACTTCAAAGAATCACCGTAATAAGGGTCTGTGTGTCAGCATTAACATCTTGCTGCCTTATCATGTTGTCTTCCAAATAAAAATGGTTTTCTCCATCGTTCTCTAAATATTTCAGTCCAAACCCCCTCCCCCCCAGTTTCTTCCTCTTACATTCCTTTCTTGATTAATCTGTTTTTAGGGAATTAAACTGGTCCTCTGCACACTGACCTCTTTTTGGGTCTTTCTGTTAAAGTTGATTTCATGTTGTTATTAAAGATTTGGTTAATAAAGCTGCAGCCATTTTAGGCCTTGATAACCTCCTACTTTCTGTTTTTCTTTCTTGTAGTACATGTGGGTCTTCAGGACGCTGGCAGTGTGAGCAGAACGCATGTCTGATTGAAGCTGACGTCATCCATGCTGTCAACCGAGGAAACTACGGGTATAAAGCAAACACAGAGACAAGCAATCATGTAGTTAATTCATTTAATGGCTTTTGGCTTATTGGAGAAAGAGGGAAAGACACACATGTGACAAAGATTTGTTTTTCTTTGCTTTCGTTTTATTAGATGGAAGGCGGCTAACTACAGTCAGTTCTTTGGCATGACTTTGGAAGAAGGTATCCGCTTCAGGCTGGGCACACAAAGACCTTCCAGCACTATTATGAAGATGAATGAAATTCAGGTAGATCCACTCTTCATTTGTGTACATAAAAGGGGTGGGGTTAGGGGGAGTCAGAGGGATCTAGCTAAACTGCTTTGATCTTGTTGCCTTCTGTCATTACAAGACAAAAATATTCATTAAAGCTTATCAGGATTATATTTAATGGAGTAACACAAAAAAGGGGTACGTATTTGTGAAGTGAAGGGAAAGGTTAACTTTGTTTCTGAGAAATAAAAAAACAATTTTCATATGTCCTGCTTTGCACATCTAGAGATTCAAATGTTAGGATGCTGCATGTCTGTCAGCATCAGTTTTTACAATGTACCGGGGCACAAATTAAATCTTTTCTTTTTTTTCCGGGGCATATGATGTAATGAAACAGGACAGAAGGCCCCAGTATTCAAGGCGAAACTGACAGTGTAATAATTCAAGAGGTTTGTTAAAAACACACAGGGATAGATCTGCGGTATTAGCGGCTAGGGCTGGGCGCCACCCATCACTGGAATCTGGTTTAATAGAAACACAGGTTAGCGACCATGATAATCGGACGTAGGATGATTATCCATATGAGTCACTAACCTGGTTCAACAGTTCAGTCCATCTCCATAAAACAAGGTAGGATCCAACCAGTGGGCTGCCAAGGAGGTGCGGTGGGTGCCGCGCAGACTATCCCAGATGCTGCAGCCTCAGAAAACATGCAGGAGTCCGAGCCTGGTCAGGGATACAGATCAGAATAGGAACAGGCTGGTCCAGGGTTCCAGGAGTATGCGGACAATTCAGGCAGAACATTTAGATGGGAACAGGCAGGCACAGTGGTTAAGAGGCAGAACAGGTCAGGATATGAGGAACACTACAGAATGCTAAAAAACACTTTCTCCACTGAGCCAAGATGAGAACAGAGCACTCTCTGTGGATAAGAGGCAGATCAGAAACACTACGGAACGTCTAAAATAGCCTTTGTCCCCTGCCCCCGAGGACGAGCACTAGAACAAGAACATCTATAATCTGTCTACGATGGATGGGAGTCATATTAATAGAAGCAGCAGCAGCAGGTGGATCACATGAGCAGTAATGGACGACAGAATAGAGTTAGACAGGTGAATTGAGTGAGCAATTAGGCCAGCTACCAGTGCCAAGATCATGACACATGGTCTACAATTTTTTAAGCCATGGGTGGTAACTCTGGCTGTCTGACCAGAGTTATTCTCCTACCGACGGGTGAGCTTGTATCCCAGCATCAAGGCATTTACAGGGTTACTTCTATGCCCTTTATTTTACTCCATTCTTTTTCTCATCAACAAACATCCATACCCATGCTGAAGAGAAGCATCCCCATAGCATGATGCTGACGTGTTTTGTATTGCTAATTTTCTGTCAAATTAATTTTTTGCTTTTAGGCCAACACTCAACATACTTGGCGTGTAACCTGCATGGATGTGTCTTATGGTTTTCTTTTAGCAAATATCTTCCATATGCAACAGTTCCTTTAAGGCTAATTTTGCAGATTGCATCCTTAATATATAGTTGGCCTGTCAATAAATTCTTCCTCATTGTAGCTGTAGATATCTGCAACTCATCCAGATTTACCATCGGTTGCTTTACTGTTTCTCTAAATAATGCACTACTTGCAAAGACAGTCAGTTTAGGCGGATGATCTGTCCATTTTTAAATAGATGGTTAAGAATGTTCTTTTTTAAATGTGGGGATCTTGTTTTACAACCTTAAACCTTTTTTTTAAATTAAGTACCACTTGATTTATACTAAGATACAAATAAGGTGGACTTTTTTTTTCTTTTTTTTTATAAAATGAAAACTGCTACTTATACTGTTTTTTATTTAACAACATCAACGTAAAGAGGGCTGAATGCAAAATCTACTCTGAGCAAATATGTAAAGGTTAATACTATATTAACAAAGGCTGTTTTATTCAGATCTAGTAATTCAAGACCATTTTTACAATCTTTTAAACAACAAATAAAAAAAATTAAAAAAGAAAAAAAAAACACAGTTTCATGAGATTCAGGATTTATTAACAGGCCTGCTGTGCTTTGCATGTTCAGATTTTTTTTTTAACTTAACAGTTGATTTCAAGCCTTATTTTATTTAATTATTTATTATTATATTTTCTTCCATCTATAATTGAAATGATGAAAAATCAAGTAATGTTGACACTGAAATTTAAATAAAAATATATTTAACATATACTCTATACATCTAAGGTGGGAAAACATGTTTAGGGAAAGCTGCAGCAGGGGCTAGGGGACCTGGGAAGATGAATGATAAGGAACAGGTGGGAATTTCTTTTGATTCTTTACAAGCTCCCACATGCTTCTCTGTACCAAAGAGCCCTGATCAAAACTTTTTCACCTAATTATGGGGGTTTGTCGGTATGTGATAACAGCCCTCCCCTCTTTGGCTCCATCTTTGTTTACATTCTGTCCAGACAGATTACATAAGACGGAAACAAAACAACAAAAGATAAAGATGGGGGAGGAAGGATTAAAAAAAAAAAAAAAAAGTTTAGCTTGCGTATTCCATCCATCCCCACCCAAACAAACTCCTTCTTCTGCTGGCATGCCCCTACCTGTGCATCTACCAGCATCATGGCCTGCTCAAACACCCCTAACCCAACCTCTAACAGGCCAGGACAATGATTATATGACTTAATGTATCTAAGAGCTCCAAAAAAAAAATAAAAATTACTATCTGGCAACATACTCCTACTCAATTCGTCTCTTGTGTTTAGGATTGTGGCTTTTTGGACTTTGACCCTGTGCAGCAATAAATCTACGACCGGCAGCGCATTCCTTAGTTATGCATCAGGTGGCTGTCGTTACTTTGAATACCCCATAATTAACCTGTGGAATGTAGAATAGGTAGACAAAGTCCTCACGAGGCAGAGAAAAGTCATTAAGACACAAGTGTCTGCTCCTTTATCACACCCCATTGGCAGATTGGGTGAGTGACCAGCCTCGAGGGCAAAGTGAGACAGAGACCAAGTCTGGAAGCTAAGAATTTTCTGCAAATGAATGCATGCCTGGAAAAGCATTCAGATTAGGCTGATGTAACCATACATCACAACAGGTTTAAAGCAAGGATGGGGATCATAGGTTCTGGTGTGACCGTGGTCCTAATTGATTGAGCAGATGCTTCCACTTCAGAGTTGATTAAGAGAGTTATGTAATCTTTCAAATGTGCCAGACAAAACTCTGCAAGTATTTCATTTGCTTTTTTTAGATTTAGATGACAAATTTAAGATATTTAGCTGCTCTGAGCTCATTATACTGCTTTGTACATTCTTCAACTGGTAGCTACATAAGCCTGAATGTTAATCTTATTTATTCATTTTTAGGGTATATATGAACATGTGACCTTTTTTTACGCAGCCTTTTCAGCTTAATACAAACCTGAGAACAATTGTTTGAAAAACTCATATCACGTGTATAACAGCCAAAGCAAACTTAAGCTGAGCCTTTGGGATGTTATAGCGACAGTGACTGAAGAGATTCAAGGTGACCTTTATGACCTTGGTAAAAAAAAATCCCAGCAGAGTGAGTTAAATGCAGTTTTCTTGTGTTTCTTAAAGATGAACATGGATCCTCAGAATGACCATCTGCCGCTCCACTTCAATTCAGTGGAGAAGTGGCCTGGAAAGATTCACGAACCGCTGGATCAGGGCAACTGTGCCGCCTCATGGGCATTTTCAACTGCAGGTGGGTTCTTGGGAGAGAAAAATATGATATAACTACTTAAGTAGTGGAATGGTTGGAAAACGGCGTTCCCCTGTAAAACAAGTATCTCTAGAATTTGACTGTTTTCTTTTTTTTTTTTTTTTACATTTTATATCAACACAGATTGACACATAAATAAAAGTTTGGAAGAAAAGATGATGTGTTTTTTTAAAATTCCTTTAGCAAATAAACCTAAAATCTGGTAAGCATATCTTTCTGTTCCCCCTAATCTGATACTTGAATTGTAAATTTAGCTGCTCCTGCTAGTTTTGAACATCTTGCAATGTCACTGTTCAGTTCATCATTAGTAAATGATGAGAAAAACCATAAAGCTTTCAGATATGGATGCCCCCTTAAACTAATGCAGTAGAGCATTGATCAGAGTCTCAAGGCCCATAGTAACTAAGGAGGAGCTAAGGCAGGATCTCTTCCACATCCAAAAAGAATACCTTCAATAAAATTGCATGGCAAACTTTTTAATTTTGTGTAAAGGAAAAGAAAAAGTAGTTCATTACAGTACTCTTTTCTTTTTTACTTCACTTTATAATTACAAACTTATTTTTTAGTCTACCATACTAATTCCAACATAATACATGGAAATTCATCATATAAGAACAACAAAAACTGTTTAAGCCATGTGGATACTTATTGTAAGGAAACAAGGTGCACAAGCCAAAAGAGATGCAATGTTTAGCCTCTGCTTCTTTTTCCTAGCTGTGGCATCAGACCGAATCTCCATTCAGTCCATGGGTCACATGACTCCTCAGCTGTCGCCCCAAAATCTTATTTCCTGTGACACCCGTAACCAAGGAGGCTGCGCAGGAGGGCGTGTAGATGGAGCCTGGTGGTACCTACGGCGCCGTGGGTGAGAATTTTGCATGTCATGCAAAACATAAACATACTTTTAAGTAAACAAAAGATTGAAATGGTTTCTTCTTCTTAAAGAGTCGTGACAGAGGACTGTTACCCATACCATCCTCCCCAGCAAACCCCAGCAGAGGTGGGGCGCTGCATGATGCAGAGTCGCTCAGTGGGGCGGGGCAAGAGGCAAGCCACACAGCGTTGTCCCAACACACAGAACTACAACAATGACATCTACCAGTCCACACCACCCTACAGGCTCTCATCCAATGTAAGAATTGCTCAACCACAGAAAATTCTTAAGACTCCCCAAACAAAACAACAACTAATCACAGAAACATGCATGCATGCATAAACATCTACAAGCATGCCTTTTCATGTGCATAGCTCCAGACAAAATGAGATGAAAAACAACCTAAGACTTTGCACTCTTTAATTAGTCATTAGTCACTTTTTTTTTAAATATGAACAGTTAAATTTGCTGTTGAGTAAATCACATAGTTTCTAGCATTATGTGCAACATCTGTCTGCTCAGTGTTAGTGTATAAATATAAGGCAAAAAAACTTAAAGACAAAATAATTAGTAGCCTAATTTTACAGTACAAATTTGCAAATGTTTTTTTATCAGGAAGTTGAAGAGATTTTTTCTTCACTTTATAGTTACACAAATAATAATAATAACTCATATCAGAGGACACTGTGATATGTATAAATTAACTAATAAATACTACTGGTTCAAACAAGTGTGCAGGTTTAGTGGGTAGCTGCCTCTGTGAGGACTTTTCATGACTTCTTGAAAAGTGGTTTTAGAGAAATGGGCCTCAGTGTCATGTTATTTTACCCAGGAGAGACAAGACGTTCTCTACTCTGAAGCCAGGTTTCCCTCCCAAAAAACAAACAAAACAAAAACTTATAATCAAACTTTTTCCCAATGCTGATATGGAATAAACATACTCAAATTACACATTATGGTAAAAAAAAAATGTTGTTAAAGATAAGTATTTGTAGGAGAAAATTGTTCCACACATCCTTATTTAACCCAGGATCAATGTGTAGGAAATTAGCAGAATTATTGTGTTATTACAACTTTGTTATTATGACGGGTTAATTTGACTCAAAATATATGGAAAAACAAAGCATTAAGCACATTACTGTTGCTTACAGACTACTTTAAAAATCTACGAACAGACTCACTATTCGTTGTCATGCAAAGTCTTTGATATTCATTGTAAATTAGATTTGTGTGTTTATGCTTTATGACATTACCCTTACCTCCTGTCTATGCATAACTGTTGTAAACAGTTTAGAAAATCCACTTTTTTGTAAGATGACATTAGAGAGATGGCTACTGTCATTGAATGAGTGAAGTTACTCCAAATGATAGCAAGTTGATAAAACAGTAATGTTTCTCTTTGATATAAAGAGGTTGCAATGTTTTGTTTGCACCGACCTGCAGCCAGAGATGTGTCCGATGTAGCCAGCATCTGTCAGTGTTAAATAACAGATAATGGTTTTTCAAAAGCATTATAGTATCTTGTTTCTGCCCCTTGATAGCCTGTGGGGTCAATAAGGAGGTTATTAAGTCCAGCAGGCCTTGATAACTTGATTTTAGTCTAAGTTTTTACTGCAGGAACATTTGTTTTTATCCTCTCTGTTTCTCTGATCAGATCTGCCTGCCTCATCCTCTGGCTGTAAAGTGTTCCTTCTATCTTGTCTTTTAGGAAAAGGAAATTATGAAGGAGATCATGGATAATGGCCCTGTTCAAGGTAAGGCAATACCCTAACATAAATCTGTGTTTTCTACCAATATGTATTATTTTACCTTCCCGTAAAAAAAGAAAAAGTTCCATCCATGTAGAGCAACCTAAATCTTTTTCTAAATTTTTAGACCCTGAGGTGTCATCTTTGACCCTCTGACCCATGTAATTTTTGTCCAGGGCTCCAACTCTGACCCCAGTAACCAGGTCGCAAATAATTGGCATTTATACAGATAGGGTTGCATACTTTCCTTGACCCCCCTGCCTTGCTGTCTGGCGCTCATCTGAGTCACTGTCAAGTACTTTTAAACAGAGTGTGAGTCCGTTGCCGCCTTGGTATGCTATTATTGTTCAGAAGTACAGGCAGGAAGACGTGTTGGCTTCATACCAACTTTCCCTTTTGACATTGTAATGGCTCCTTGACGCAGAGCTATAAAGGGATATGTGTGTGCTCCTTTCTGTTATATTTGTGAAATGTGTGCAGGCTTCTTAACCGTAAAAAAGCATTTGATTCCATGCCTCGCATTATATCCAGACCCCTTCAAGATTTAGATCTTGTCAAATTACACATTCAGTGTGTTAATAAATAAATATAAATAATAAATTGAACTTTATTGATCTCACAATGGGGAAATAAACTCTCTGCATTTAACCCATCCCCTTTGGGGGAACAGTGGGCTGCAACTGTGCAGCGCCCAGGGAGCAATCAGGGGTTAAGGGTCTCGCTCATAGAGCCAGAGTGACAGTCTGTGGGAGTGGGTTTTGAACTCACAACCTTAGGAGCCCTTTTCCAAGCCCTATGTCCTAACCACTTGGCCACCACTCTCCAGAAGTGGTACATAATTATGATGTGGCAGGAAACAAAAACCTTGTTTTACAATTTTAACATGTCTGTTTTGCATGTTACTTGAATGTATGTCAATTTAGCATTAACAACATTAAGAGTTGATTTTTTTTTACTATTGTTTCTGGGGCTCTTATGCAATAGGTAAAAAGCTAAACATGCAGCAACACTGCAATACTTGCAGGTGAGTAACGGATTGTTGGAATCACCCCTTTTGGTAGAATAGGCAGTAACGTATGCAAAGAGGGGTGGGCTAATGGTAGCACCCTTTCAGGAATGACGTAAATCAAAGAAAAGCACAAAAATCATGTGCTGTGGAGAGCATGCCCTTATCAGCTTATCTGGTTTAAACAAATAGACTAAACAAACAAACAAAAAAAAAAGCAAGCAACCTCCACACCCTGGATTGTATGGCTGGTTTTTACCTGAAGCCCAACAGTTAGAAGCAGGTCAGATTTACGGTTGATGACACCCTTCATCTGCTTTTAGCTTTAGCATACCTTTATAGTTTTAGTCCGTCCCCTATCAGTTGAACCTCCAACCCTGTCTCAAGTCTTCTAGAGGCTCTAAAAGGTTTCCTTGCAGATCAGCTTTACTGTCACTGATGAAGAAATGCAGCCAAACAGCATGAGGCTGCCATCACCGTGCTTCCCGGTTGGGATTGTGTGGTCAGAGAGATCTGCTGAGTTTAGTTCCTCCTCAAGTTCAAATTTCATCACCTCTGACCTGAGGACCAAAGTATCTTCTTCTACATGTTTGCTTTGGTCCTGATGAAGGCCTGAACACACCAATGCATTATGATTTTTAATCTCTGATCTAAATTTTTCATGTCACGTTAACTGCACATATAGAGAGATTCCTACTAGGCAGGATGGGCAGATCTGTGGAGATTTTCTTTTCACTTCTGTCTCTGTGCTATACAGAAATTAAAATGAATTTCCAAATTTAGCTTGGACAGATTATGTAAAGTTTGGCGCATCTATAAAGAAAACCTCCACTTGACGACTCTGTGCAGCATCTCAACCCAGAACAGATAGAGAATGCTCATATGTCTATATTAAAAACACTACGTCTAAAGAAAAGAAAAACAGCAATAAACGCCATGGGACGGTTTATACGCTGACTGAAGCAGATCTGGGAAGTTTATCGAAGTCCATTTAGAGTTCAGAGAGATACGCTGTGCTTACCTGCTCTGTCTGGCCCTCGTCATTTTTTTTTTTTCGGTTCTGGTTTTGGGGTGGCAACATGTGGAAAAGGTTAAGGGGTATGGAAAATTATACAAGATATTATAGATATTTGAATAGAGATGCATGATAGTCCTGGTGCTCAGCTCACTCACACACACTAACATCTTGGACATATAAGTGTCCAAGATGTTAGTGTGAGACTTGTGACTAATTGTGAGACTAATTTCACTTGTGAGACTAATTGCTTTTAGGTGAATCGGATTTGATCCCCCTAGATCCAGTTATATCCACCCAATATAACAGATCCTGGAAAGCATGCATGTGAGTTCTTGTTTTAATCTTTTTCTAATTATTTCTGTTTATTTGTTACAACAGCTATTATGGAGGTTCACGAGGACTTCTTTGTCTACAAGAGTGGGATCTACAAACATACTGATGTCAGCAATGCCAAACAGCCACAGTACCGCAAACATGGCACACACTCAGTCAGGATCCTTGGGTGAGTTCCTACTATTTAGCAATGGATAACAGCAGGCCTTTTTTTTTTTTACTTGTTTTGGGAACTTAGTCATCTTGTGGGCATACTGTAAGCCTTATTAGGTTGAACATGAAAATACAGGATATTAGGAGTGGCTTTTGACATTACAGTATTGATACATGGTTCATCTGGAGAAAACAGATATAGAAGCTATACTGTAGATGAAATCCAAATCTAATATTTCTGCCCACATGCAACCCATATCTGACTTTTTCACAGTAGTCTGAATGGCTAAAACACAGTCTTTTCAACTCCCCCATAAAATCCGATTTGAGGTACATCCATATATGGTAATAAATTTATGTGATATTTTTTAAAGCCGCAGCAGTCTAAACAGTAACCCTGAATTTTATATGACTTTTATACAATTTCCAGTGCTCTCACTACAAATCCGCACAGACTTCTCTCCAGCAGCATTCACCAACTGCATTCCAAACACACATTGTTAATAGTTATGCACTGTCTTCCTTCTAAGTTAATGATGGTGCCATGATACTGTCGCCTCCCACTGCTCATGAGTCTAATAATAGCATGGAGACACTGGCATCTACTATTACGTTTTTTTTTTGTTTTCTTTTCTTTTCATTCAAGCTTTTTCTAACACGTCTTGACAAAGTCTATGTCATCATTACTTCCATCAGCAGTACGCTGCTTTGTGACTTCTACTTTCTCCTTCTGTGCATGTGGGCTACTTTGATGTCCACTCAGACTGAACTCTGATGTGGGTCAAATCACGACAAAAAGGCTAGATTTCAGTTGATAAAAATTAGAATTTAGCCATGCAAGGTATGAACGTTACCTAAAGTCCTTTACTGGGTAGCTGTCTGTATTGAGTTCTGTTTGAATCTTGTCTTCCATATGAGTTTGCCCAAAGCCAAGAATGTTCTTGTGAGTAAGCTTCCCACCCAGACTCCTGATATTAGAGACACACCTTTTGCTCCACTCCTCGATTTTCCCCAGACACTATTCCCTACCCCCCACCTTTTAACTGTGGTGACCACAAATATGTAAGCAGGTAGACGACACACCTGGATTTCCCAAACCCCGCCCTCACTTCTCCGGCTATTCCTCAGTCCTTTCAGCTTTCCATTCACATCTTCTCGCTGTCTGTTGTGTCTTCGTCGTCTCTGTATACTCAGACCGTCCTGCTTCCCCTATTTTTCTCCTTCTGGAATCCAGACTAAAAAACACCCGTTATCATTTAAACAATCCCCCCCAGACAGACAGGTACTTGTCTCATGCTGCTACATGTCTTGTCTGGAGGACAATAGAAGATAAAAGGAGGTTTTGACCTATGAAATATCATCAAAAAGACTTTTAGTCATAAATTATCGACAAGAATTTTCTCTGGAGTTCATGTGGCTAGTTGTGGCATGCTGCACTTGTCATTAAGTGATAAAATCTAATGCAACTGCTTTTGGCATTTACTTAATCATATTTAGTTACTCTAACACAATAGTTTTATGTCCTACCCTGCTAACATGAAACAACTGTGTTAAAGTAACTAAATATAAATAAGAAAATGCCAAAAACGGTTGAATTATTTATTTCAGGGAAACAACTACCTTACAAAATGTCTACCATGGGGGTTGAGGAGCATGTTTGGACACAGTGATCTATAGACGTTTGACTTGCAGGGACAACAGCAAAAAAAAAAGCCTAATATAAGTAGCATTTTCTTCATGTTTGTTCAAGAATGACAAACATCTGCTGCGTTCACTGTCAACTTTTTTTTTGTTTTACATATTTACCATGTGTCTTTCAAAACATTTTATCTAGTAGCATCTTCTTTGATTACAATCATATGTGTCATATGAACAGAGAGTCCTGACATTTCTTTGCATTAATTCATCATGATCCCAGCCTGATCTTCACTCATGTAAAAAAGTTGATTTGAGACAACTTACTGTATCTTCACCCCAACAAAGATATGATTTTGGTTTTAGCTTTATATCATTTTGTGTCCACTGTGGGGTAAGAAAATGTCCCCAAAAGAGTAACACCAATCAACATTATATACAAACAGGAGATTACTTGGTTGTTGTTGCCTTTTTTAGGGATCACAATCTCCTGAATTTGACAAACGTCAACTAGTCCAAACAAGGATTAGCAAAGTGATCATTGTGTTATGAAATGTTCTGCAAATGACATTCTATGGAACCACAATGAATACGAATATTATTGGAAAAGTCGATTATATATATATATATATATATATATATATATATATATATATATATATAAATAAATAAATAAACGCAGAGTGATGTATTTTTAATGTCTATTCCTGTTAATTTTTTAAACTTAAAATCTGGTTTCTGAGGTAATATGAATATTTTAAAAACTATCCAAAGGGAAATCTAATTAATTACTGTATTAATGCAGTCTGGCGTGTGAAGGAAGCCCAGTTTGCTTTAATATTAACTTAACAGAAGGGATGCAACAGTTACAAATCATATCCTGGATACATTAGTGTGGTGTGGCTCTGTCTTCCACTGCAGTCCAAACCTTGTGAATTTAATCCCAAACTCCCGGTTGATTGTACAGTTTTCCTTCCACTTAACTTTACATTAATAGGATTGGATACAGCACTGTGTAAACACACAACAGTGAATACGGTCTAGGCTGTCAGGTCAGCTGTCTCATGTTGGCCATGAGACAACACCTCTCATTTGTATTATTAAACTGACTTGTGTTACAGTTAAAAAAGAATAAAAAATAGAAACTTGAAAAATGTGTTGTAAATGTATAATAACAGTTTTAATAAGATATATATTTTGCATGTTGTTTATGTAATTACGTTATTTTAAGTTGAGATACTTTTCTTCAGCTATTGTATTTTTTTATGTTTGTATTTAAGCATAAAACACTCAAGGACCATCAAAAATATTAATATACTGGTTTATGCTTATTTTTTACAGGTGCATAACAAAAAATATATGCATGGATTAAAATGAGCAACCTTAGCTAGATGCCAAGTTTTATTTACCTCTTTTGCTTGTTAAGTGTGGATAATGTTGGTTCTTGTTGAGGGGATGTATCAGCGCCAGGTTTGTACATAAATAAGATTATAACAGGCTGCTGTGGTACAGTGTTTTGCAGCTCAACCTGCCCCAGGCGTCAGCGGGTTTACACAGGACAAATCCCATAGCTGTGCGTTCCTGTAAGCCTGGGGCCTGGGAAAGTTTGTGAAAAGAGCATTGAGAATCAACGTGGTGGAAAGAGCATTGTCTGGGAGGCTGATCCTTACCACACTGGACATAGAAAGGGGGATCAATCGGCCAGAGAGGGCTATGAAGAGGGGGATGAGGATAGCACTGGCTCAGTGGTATGTCCATCATTGTCCATGAGTGAGTAAGGGAGCTTATTGTGGGTCTGATAAGAGATAAGTAGTGGTGTAATGCTGTCTGGCTCTGTCTGTACCAGTAACCATGCTGGACAGCATGCATCTCTCCCAGACACATAGATATAAGTATAGGTGTTTGTTCCTGTCTTGATTTTCCATTCTGTTTAAGACTCTTGTTGCCACATGCTGTTGTTTTTAACAGTGTCTGTTTCAGGTCATTGTGACTCTTGACTGCACTTAAGAAAATACTGAAGTCAGACAGTAATGGGCAGCTGGCAGTGCCGAATAGTGTTGTGATGGCAAGCTTAGTTGGCAGAGACCCCCACCTTCCGCTCCGTTTCCCAGCTTTCTTTTTCTTTATAGAAAGATAACAAGGGATTGAGCACCGGGAGTCTCCTGGGAAATAAAATGCATGTAGTGCAAAAACAGGATGGGAATTGGCTTTGGGAGAATGTTTTGATGATGCTAAACAGAGACTGCAGGGGCTGGCAGGCCAGCTTTGAACGGTAGTAGGAATTCATGGGTTTATGCCAAGGTTTCCGGAAAACAAATCTGTTGGCAAGCACAAAGAGTAGAGATAAGGTTCACATGCTGTGCTTGTATGTTTTTGGATAATTTGCCCTGTGATGGTGGATTGAGGTGGTGTTCATTTCCTGACAACTTATCCTCTGTTTTAAATTCTGGAGGGTGGAAATGCCAATCAAAGAGGGAATTTCCATGTTCTTCGGATTGGAATAGCATATGAGTGGGAAAATGCTGTGACAGAGATATAAATAAACTGGTTTTCTTGTGACAAGATCAAATTCCTTGAATAAGTGTTATATGTACGTTTCTCTGAAAATCATGATTTACAAAAATGTTTGCAACAGATATGGCTGGGAACATACGGTTACCTTTGGGATCTATCCTGCGTTGAAGTTCAGCCCTCTTTAGTCAATCCTTTGGGGCAGCATGTTTTACTACAAAGACATTTAAAAGTCTTTGAACATCAAGAGACTGGATTTTTTTTTGCTAATTCCTCGTTGCAAAAATAGCTCAAGCTCTTAACTGTCAGCCATTCTTACACATTTGCTACATTTTATTTTTGTAATTCTTTTCTGGAAGGCTGCAGTTCCAATTTTACAAGCATTATCCATTGGCATTTTGTAATGACTTCTGTAAGGCTGAAAGATTGACTCTGTGCAGGAGTCCGGAGTTGTTTTTTTTCTACTCACGGTTGTGTTCTCACTTGTGAAAAGTGAAGAGTTAGAAGCCAGGAACAGGACGTAGAAGCTACAATTTGATGAATTTGGATGAATCCTCATGGCAGCATGTCTGATGGCTCTCTGGATAAATCAGTCGTGAAAAGGCTGGCCTGATTTCACACACCTTCCTGTGTCTAGAGAAGCTCCCTGAGAAAGTTTATTCAACACTGAACTGGGTTGTCTGTGCTGATCATCTGCTCAGCTGGGTGTTGGGTGCATAGTGCTCAGAGCATTGAGGCTCTTTGGACTTGTAGTTCTGATGTGAGAGTGGCAGGGAAAAACACCACAATTTCGTGTGTCAAAGTGTAAAGAAGGCTTCTTATTGCATATATTTCATAATGTTGTGAAAGAGTCAATTATTAGGGTGCACAAACAATGGTTCTCCTATCCAAACTCCAGCTTAGCTGAGGATTTCCGTAGCTCTGCCAAAGTTAGTGCGTCCATTTCTTGGTAGCATTTCTGCCATATTTTTTCTCCTTTTGGATGACGGGTTGTAAAGCTTGGATGTGTCAATCTTTATTTAATAATTTAATTTAACTTTAAATGTGTCAACAACTTTATCTCTTTGGAGTTCCCTGTTTCTAATTATGCTGTTTGTTCAGCAATGCTCTTAAAATAACACCTGAGGCTTTCAAAGAACAGCTTTTCTTTTAATTAAAGTACACAAAGTTGGTGTGTATTTACTCTTTAGGGACTTAAAGTGGATTTTATTTGGATTAGAGTAAAAGATTTCAGATACAC